AATAAAATACATAATGATTAATTGAATTGAGGCAAACATTTAATATATTAAATATCTTATTGTTTCGAAATTCAACATCTGAATTTTGGTAAACTTTTGGGGAAGGAAAGCAATTTTAATGGAAATAAAAATAAATAAAAATGAGTGATCGAAGTTAAAATATATAAATATGTTCTTGTATGTTTAATTATAGAAAAGAATGAAGAAAAACTAAAGAAAAATAAAGAAAGAGACTAGAAGAACGATTTTTTTTTGCCGGAAAAAATGAAAAATATTTTTGAACCTAATCAAATATATTAAAATAGTTAGGTTCTTAATCACAATTTTTTTTATCATTACAGCTAATTTTTTTTCTTCTATAAGATGCCAACAAAATATTAAAAAACGAGAAAATAAATTTAATTTATTTTACAAAAACAAAGAATTGTTGCAGATTCTACGTTTGGTTTGTAATTCGGTTTGGAATCTTTCGACTAAAAAATTATAAAAAATGAAAATCATAAAATTGAAAAAAAAAATCATAAGATTGAGATATATACCTAACATAACGATTAACATAACAAATTTTTATATTAATTCCATGCCTAAACAATGGTCAAACATTGATTTGCGTATTAATAATATGATACAAAAAAAGTTTATGAAAAATTATGTTTTTCTCAAATTTTAGTAAGAAGGACAAAAATATTAATGACAATTAATTGAGTTTCTATAAAATACAAACAACGACTAACTGAATTCTAAATATCGTATCGTTTCGAAATTCAACGTTTGAATTCTAATAAATTTTATTCTAAAGTTGTTGTAAAAGAAGCTAATTTCCAAAATATGTGAAAGCAACAATAATTAAGTTTCCAAAAAATATTAATTAAATTTCTACAAAATACAAATGGCGACTAATTGAGTTTCCAAAACAATTAATATGCTAACTGTCATACCAAAACTCCAAGGATTCATTTTTTTCAATATGAAATAGTATAAATTTGATTATGGTCACTATGATTTTCACAGCAAAATCAGAAAGCAAGTGAAGGAACTCCAAAACAAAAAAGAGCATTCACTCACTTTCTCTCTCTAAAAAAAAAAAAACACAGCCAACGACCTTCTCGTGGTCTTCTGTGCCATAAGAACCGTATATACATTCAAAAACCAATCTGGCGCCTCATATACATTTATAAATATGTATGTACACATCTCTTCTTCTCTCTCCTTTTGTGAGTGGTGAGATGTGTATCCCCATAAGGTTCAGCATCGAACCATCTGCAACATTTTGACTCGCTTTCTTTTGTGATTTTCCAACATCTGTCTCTTCTTCACTCGCTCTTTCATTATCTTTCTTTCCCAATCTCCCCAACGACCTCTCTTTTCTTCTCCATTCATCTCTCTCTCCCCGGGAAATATGGATAACTTCTTGCCCTTTTCCTCTTCTAACGCAAACTCGGTCCAAGAACAACACTCAATGGATCTTGCCAATAATCACTTCACAACGTTCCATACTTATGATCATCACCACAACATGTTGCCTCCGTATGCAAACGTTGCATGTCCGGTGGCGATCAACCATCAGCCGCTTCACTCATTGGAGGGCTTCCCCCAGATCCCAGTTACGCAAACCGGAAGTGATCAATTCGGTTCTCTTGTTTGTAATCCTGGTTTGAGGCAAGAGAGAGGTGGGTTTCTTGATCCACACATGACGAAGATGGCAAGGATCAATAGGAAGAACGCTATGATAAGATCAAGAAACAACTCGAGCCCTAATTCTGGTTCTAATGAGTTGCTTGATTCAAGGAGACAAGTGATGCTTAACATGAAAAAAAACGCTGAGATCGCTGCTGCTAAAAAAGATCTTTATCGATACTCCACGTTCGATAACAAGGTTTGGCTTTTGGTCGGTCCAAGTGTGAATATATATTTGATTTTCCTCGGTCAAAAAGTTTGTGTAAATTGTTTGTTGTTTGCTGATTGTAGAAGCTTAAGGTTTTGTTGGTGAAGCACTTGAAGAACAGCGATGTTGGGTCACTTGGGAGGATTGTTCTACCAAAGGTATGTAAATTCTTACAATTCTTCTCTAACATATATCACGAACCAATAATCAGAAAAATTGCCATTTCGTTTTCTTTGTTTTATACTACCATATTTTGTTGTGAAAAAGTTGAATTTGAAAAGGTGTACGGTGAAAATTCGCTGACGAAATAATTATCACTCACCTTGTTAGCCTATGGGATTTGTTTTGAAAAATAAATAATTTCAGGATTTGACTTCCAATATTTAGAAAAGGAGATTTTTAGGAAAAGGAACAAAAATCAATTCCCTAGATATTCACTCATTATGTAG